ATGATGTCAGTCTCCTCACAAGTAAAATTCAGCACGCCACTCATCTATTGACCTCTCCTCCGTTATATCTATATGGACCAGTTTTTCCCATCTTTCCTCCAAACCATTCCTGGCTTGGGGTTTGTTTTTCGTCCGTACCTACCCTTTCGGGCTTACCAGACGCCTGGGAGTACCAGAGCACCCCCAGCAGTTGGTGGCTTTCAGTGTTTCCACCTTCAGCCATCCCCCGGAGGAGTAGATAAGGGTAGCTCTACCTCCGGCTCCGGTTGGCCGGCGCCCTCCAGCTAAGACGCAAGTTAGTTTCAAACCACGAATTGGTGGCTACTTGGAATTGCCCCCTCCTGTGGTTCAGTATTATTTTTAAGGTGGGACGATCGCCCACCCGAGGGTTGCCCCCCTACTGTTCTCACCCGTTACCCGAGGGGTAAAGGTTCAGTAACCAAGGAAACCCTTGCAATGGGGGGATTGACAGGAAAGAAGGAAAGGAAGGAACGGGAAGGGGGAAGTTACCTCCATCATGGGTTACCCCTAGGCACCAGGGTTGATGGTAGGACTTTGCCTAGGCCCATAGGGAAGTTACCCTATGGGAGAATCTATGTGGACCAATCGGTAATGAGGTTCAGATGTTGTTCGAATGGTTTTGATACTAGGATAGGGTTAGAGCGTGTAGATAAGATTGCGGTGTAGTCCGGGTAGGCTGTGAGTTGTGTTTGGTTGTGAGGGTATGTCAGCAGTGTAGATGGTGAAGATGATTGGGCCTAGGATACTTCCTTGTGGAACGCCAGCTTTGATTGCGTGCTAGGTGAAAAATCGGTGCCGATTCTTACTCTAAACCATCGATCCGAGAGGAAGGATTTCACGATAAGATAGTAGGAATGAGGAAGGATAAGTTTTAACTTATAAAGGAGGCCGGGGTGCCATACTCGGTCAAATGCTTCCGTAACGATTAATTAACGTAATGTTTAATCGGCATTTCTTCGACTAAAGGTTTAGGATTAACACGTGGCTTAATTTCTTAAGTTTAATAAATAATTTATTGTATTTTAAAAAGAAAATGGCAATGGTTAACAACCTGAAGCTGGCCAGTGAGTTATAAAAAAGAGAGAAGCAGAATAAGTCTACTCAGATCGAGATGCGGGAGGCCACCTCTTTTATCCCTATACCTATCCATTTTCATTGGCGCAGACGAAAAAATTTACGTTGTGAGTGGATATAAATATCTAGGGGTGCTCTTCACTCGCTAACTCTAATATCTCACTTTAAAAAAAAGGTTTATTTCGCCGAAATTTGCAATCAGCTCGGTTTGGTCTAACCTTCTCTCAAGCTCTTCTATTGGGTTGTCCGGAAAATAATGCAGGATTTTAAGTTTTCATTAAAAAAAATCTATATAAAATATTCTGTTTACGTTTACAGGATTACTCATTTGTNTTTGATTAAAGAACATTGCTTTAAAGTAACTAGTTTCTTTTTTTTTGTTTAATACCAAAATCCTGCATTATTTTCCGGACAACCCAATATTTCAGCTAAATTTGCTAAAGCTTAGCTAATGTTAAAGTTAGAAATTTGTAATTCAATTGGTTCTGGGTTTCATATTACGCCATCTACAGTTTCGGACAGAAAACCTTATTAAACCATCACTGAAGATGAAGAAAAGCGGAATAGGCGAACGGAAATGATCGGATAAGAGCGAAATAATTCTCTCTCTCTCTCTCTCTCTCTCTCTCTCTCTCTCTCTCTATCTATCTATCTATCTATCTATCTATCTATAGATACTATGTCTATCTATATCTGTAAGTGAATGATCTTAGGTGTGTTAATCGTAAAAACGAAAACTGCTGAACGGATTTCGATAAAACTTTCACACTTTGTTTTTATTAGTGCCTGGCGGGTTTAGAGACTATACAATGGGCATAAAACATATAATAGGCGTCAGGATTTACAAAAAAAAAAGGAGAAATAATACCTTTTATTATATCACTGGGCAACGCCGGGTTATAAAGCTATTATTGTATAAATTGAAATAATAATAAAAAATTGTAAGTAAAATCTAAATTTAATTAAATGAGCATTAATCGTTATTTATAGAGTAAAAATATTATTTTTGGTGGATTAATTTTATTGTTGGTTAACATAAAGACAAAAATATTCTAAGACGAAGAATATTTTAATTTGGTGTGATTTAAAAAGATAAATCAACAAAATACCTGCTTTTTTGCATATTTTAACAAATTTTCTTCAAGGTCAGTAAATGGTCAAAATTTGGATTTGACCTCATTGTCGTGATGGTAGCGTTATAAAGCCCTCAGATACCGACCATCGCGGAATCTTGTAATCTATTTGATTCTCGGCGAAAAATGAAATGGCCACGGAGAGCTCCAGTGAAGATATACCATTTTGTTTATTAAATGCATTAGATTTCGTCGTCTTATTGATCAAATAACCTCTTTCAATTAATTAATCTTTATGTAAGGTATTGGTTGAGATAAAAAGATGGTTCGAATCCCTCTCGTGCCGCTGACTTTTTTTTTATCTCAACCAAGACCTTACATAAAGATTAATTTATAAAAATAATCTTGTAACTAGTTACATCAGTGAATATAACACAAACGTAATTCATTGGCTAACTCACATTTTTACAATGTAAAAGCTATGCAATATTATAACTTTTCATTAAATATGGCACTTCGTTTGTTTGTAAAGAGAGGATTATTATTCAAAATTTCAAAAACTACAAAGAAGATAAAAAAATTATAATTTCAAAAATTTTAAAATGTAGTTAAGATATTTTAAAGCTAAGAGTTAATTTGGGTGGTTTTTTCATGCTACATGTTTATTTGTTTGTTTCTCATTTTGTAAAGATATATTAGAGATATAAGCTACAAAGGAGACAAAAAAATTTGTAGTTTCAAAAATTTTAAATTGTAGTTGATATTTTAAATCCAAATTTAATTTGGTTGGTTTTTCATGCTACTAGTTTATTGTGTATTATGGTTGTTTATTTGTTTGTTTTTCATTTTGTAAAGATATATTAGAGATATAAATTACAAAGAAGATAAAAAATGTATAATTTCAAAAATTTTCAATTGTATTTAAGATAATTTAAAGCCAAGATTTAAATTGGTTGGTTTTTTTTCATGCTACAAGTTTATTCTGTATTATGTTTATTTGTTTGTTTTTCATTTTGTGAAGATATATTAGAGATATAAATTACAAAGAAGACAAAAAATTTATAATTTCAAAAATTTTCAATTGTATTTAAGATATTTTAAAGCCAAGATTTAAATTGGTTGGTTTTTTTTTCATGCTACAAGTTTATTCTGTATTATGTTTATTTGTATATTTCTCATTTTGTAAAGATGTATTAGAGATATAAACTACAAAGGAGACAAACAAAAGTTATAATTCCCTATTTTTCGTGGTCCGCTTGACCAATTAATACAATTCAATTAATGAAGGTTTTAAGTTGAGATAAAAAGTCAGTGTCATGAGCGGGATTCGAACCCAAGATCTTCGGCTTGATACGCCGCTACTCTACCACTTGAGCTATCCTGATTTCGATCCACTCGGACCCCAACTTCCCATCTCAACCAACCTTTCGAATTTTTCCCTCCTTTATGGCATTTTTCAATTTCAATCCAGCTCGTGACACGGACTTTTTTATCTCAACTTAAAACCTTAATTAATTGAATTGTATTAATTGGTCAAGCGGACCACAAAAAATAGTTAATTTAATGATTTAGAATGATGTATAGTTCACTAAAGTTCTCCGTGGCCATTTCATTTATCGCTGAGGATCAAATTGATTACACGACACTTGAAAAATGCCATAAATGAGGGAAAAATTCGAAAGATAGGTTGAGATGGGAAGTTTGTGTGTCCGAGTGGATCGAAGTCACGATAGCTCAAGTGGTAGAGCGGCGGCGTGTCAAGCCGAAGGTCGTGGGTTCGAATCCCGCTCGTGACACTGACTTTTTTTTATCTCAACTTAAAACCTTAATTAATTAAAATTTATAATTTCCAAATTTTTAAATTGTAGTTATATTTTAAAGCCAAGATTTAATTTGGTTGGTTTTTTTCATGCTACAAGTTTATTCTGTTTTATGTTTGTTTATTTGTTTGTATTTCATTTTTTAAAGATTATTAGAGATATAAACTACAAAGAAGATAAAAAATTTATAATTTCAAAAATTTTAAATTGTAGTTAAGAAATTTTAAAGCCAAGATTTAATTTGGTTGGTTTTTTCATGCTACAAGTTTATTCTGTTTTATATTTGTTTATTTGTTTGTATTTCATTTTTTAAAGATATATTAGAGATATAAACTACATAGAAGATAAAAAATTTATAATTTCATAAATTTTAAATTGTAGTTAAGAAATTTTAAAGCCAAGATTTAATTTGGTTGGTTTTTTCATGCTACAAGTTTATTCTGTATTATGTTTATTTGTTTGTTTCTCATTTTGTAAAGATGTATTCTATTTCCTCTCCTGTTGTCTAGTACAAGCTTTGCTTTTTGACAGTAGGCTGGGATGTACCAAAATATTAGTTTTTGTTATAAATTTATATTTAATGTACATTCTTGCAAATAAAGATTTATTATTATTATTATTATTACCTTGATGCGTTGTAATGCTATTACTGACTTAGTTGTTTTATAGATATGTTAATAAAATGATACTCGTATGAACTAGAATCAAAAGTGTTGAATGTAGAAGTCTAATGTATTTGTTAGTATTTTTACCGTTTTAACCTTTGTCCATATCTGTAAGGACCATCCTAATCTTAACTGGAAGTCAGGCTGTTTCCAGCTGCGGACATAAATTTGGTCGTGATCGGCGTGCAAACGGCCGTAACGTCTTTCAATTTCTTTTCGTAGTCTTCTTTGTTCGCGGATTTGTTCGCTTCCAGCCACATGATCGTCTCGTTGCACTTTCTCGTCAGGGTCGCCCTGTCCTCTTCCGTTATGACGTTCCTACGCTCTGACATGTTTATGTTGTCCAAAGCGGATTTCATGGCGTAAATGTAGTTTTCAAGCTGGTTCCTGGACTCTATTGTCGTTTTGAGCAGCTCGTCTTCGTTTTTGAATTTGTCCGCCTCTTTCACAATCCTTTCGATTTCGTTCTTGTTGAGACGCCCTTTGTCGTTTGTGATGGTTATTTTGTTTATTTTCCCCGTCGCCTTCTCCGTCGCTGCCACGTTCAGTATTCCATTGGCGTCGATGTCGAAAGAGACTTCGATTTGGGGTATCCCTCTCGGCGCCGGTGGAAATCCGGTCAACTCGAAAGTCCCTGAAATAAAAATCAGTCACGACTTGAAAGCGTTAAGTACGTTTTCAAAATTTTTAGCTAAGTTCAGTGTTACACAAATGCAAAACAATAAAAAATATTAAAAAAACTTTTTATACTATCGCCTTTACCATTCCTATTTTGACCTTGGGCATACTACTTACATGCGAGGAAGGTTTCAAAGGCCAAAAATACGATTACTGTTAATACGGTTTGTGAACAGTTGTGATATATAAATATGTTAGAGAATTTCGTCAGTGTTCATTCGACTTCTTCAATAGTCGGGCCAGCACTGGAATTGCAATTTCCCGATCCGCCGGCTCTTCCTGTGGTGCAGTAAAACTTTTTCGCAATAGGTTCGCAGACTTCTTTGATGTCTTTTAATTTCTTTTCGTAATCCTCTTTTTTCGCAGACTTATTCGCTTCTAACCACATGCTGGTTTCGTTGCATTTCCTCATCACTGTTTTTTTATCATCTTCCGATATTGAGCACCTGCGGTCTGACATGTTGATGTTGTCGATGGCGGTTTTCATAGCGTAAACGTAGCTCTCCAACTCGTTCCTAGCGGAAATGGACAGTCTCACTTTTTCGTCTTCAGTTTTGAACTTTTCCGCATCTTTTACCATCCGTTCTATTTCAGTTTTGTTCAGCCGTCCTTTATCGTTCGTAATGGTGACGTTGTTAGTTCTTCCCGTCGCTTTTTCGACCGCGGATACGTTTAAAATTCCATTTGCGTCTACGTCAAAGGTAACCTCGATCTGCGGTACTCCCCTAGGCGCTGGAGGAAACCCCGACAATTCGAACGTGCCTGAAACAGAAAATCGAATTTTTGAGAATAAAAGTGGTCAATAAAAGGGACTAAATATTAAATAGCAAATATAAATTTTCCAGGTCGAATCGAACATATTTAACACTATCCGAACTTCGACTTATTTCGACCACTTCAATTCTCAAGCATTCGACTTTCGGGGCTTTGCTTTTTTCTTAAATACGTTTAATAAACGTGTTATATCTTCGAGGTACACGTAAATATCTAAATTTTCTCAGGCCTCCTTTTTGCGTTTAACATTGCATTGCCAGTTGATTTATTTTAGTTCTAATGTTATCAATTAGATATTTATTTTGTAGTAACGTATCAATTATTACTGATTCCATAATTTATTGGGTAATTTAACCAATTAAAGATTCAGCAGTATGACTACTGTATGATTTATAAGGCTTTCTTGAGCGGCTAGTCCTAGATCAGGCAAATATAAAAAAATATTTTTATGGCCTTTGAGTACTAAACGTATCAATTTAGATTATGTGTTGTGGTATTCGCTAAGAGTTTCAAATTAAAATTCTAAGAACGGCATCCTTCGATTTATCGGGCGCTCACAGGTATAGGATGGGTATGACTGAGTGCCAAAATTGTGCCACTAGTGACGTAAAGAGGATACATGTGTCGATGGAATGCCCTGAATGTGAAGATAGAAGGAAGGATGGATGGATTTTACATTGCAGAGAATTGCTAGGTTTATTAATGATAGTAGAGGGCAGACAAGACGTTTACAAAATGTTGTTTGAACACATCAGGGATGCCGAAATTTAAAAAATAATAGGTCTGTGCGGCTGGTCTGGTGATCGGGAGTAAGGTGGTGGGCGTCTCGTTCTGGCGTTGTGCCCGGTGAGAAGGACGGGAGGGATGCAGGGCTTTTTAGCTCCGCTCTCCTAGAGAAGAGGTTGTGGTTCATCGTGGCCGTGGATCAGAGCCCTTGCGTATGACCTCCGAATTACCTCCCGACCTCGCGGGAATCGGAGCGATCGGATGCCGAAGCGACATGTAACGAGGACTACGCTAAGTCCGTCGAATGTGTGAGGAATGGTTGACGCGGGCGGATGTTTTCCGGTTGTGGCCGTCTGGGTTGCCTTTGCCGAAGGCGTGGGCTCCTCTAGGGGGTTGTTAGAGATTCCACTAAAATGGAAACCGCGGCCATCCTGAGGTTTCGACGGTGGCGGAACCCCTACACCCAGGGAGATCGAGTTGTCTTCTATATCTGGCGAGTGCGTGGGAGATCTAGGATCGATGCATTTCGACCCCTTTTGGGTATCCCTTTACGCGTGGCACACGATTGGTTGCACAATATTAACTCCCTCAGAAGGGGAAAGAGAAGTCGACATGTCGGCAGCATGCTGCAGGATGATGTGGGCTTCTACACCGAACCTCGAGAGAAGCAATTTTTCAGTGCGTGGAGGTGAGTCCCTCCTAACTTGAGAATCTAGACGTGTCATAAGGCTTATGTGCCAGGTGCGCACGCTAAAGAACCTCAAAGTTAAATGACATTGCGATCCCAGTGGGAAACATAATAGCTTCGCTCTCCTCGAGGAAGTGGACTTTTCCACTGGTATTTCGATGTTCGTGGTTTTTATCCACGTCATCCAGTGGGTAGACTGTCAAGTGTAAGTAAGAAGCATCTCTGGTTAAAATTTGCATCTCTCTCTTCCTGCCGCGGCGGGTGTTGGCGCTTGGGTGCATTGCTTGGGTTGCTGGATCCGTTAAACATCTTGATTTTAGACGGTATCTAGCAATTTAGATTATTGATATTATTGTAAATGTGAATGGACAGATAGAGATGTGTCTCTTGTGAAGCGCATCTCGAAAATTCCCTTTTTTCCTCAATCCAAATCTTGAGACTGTGCAATGGGTGCTCCGAGGAGATTCCAGCAGATCCTTCCCAATCCTTGGTTGGAAGGGAGGTTTTCAGGCACAAAACAATGGTGTAGCCCTGAGAACGTGCCTTTCTAGAGCACAAGCTGGCTGGTGTTTCCTGGCGCCTTAAGCATCCTTTGTGTTGGATGATAGGATCAAGGAAGCGTATAGTATCTTGAGAGGATGCAAAGACTACGCTGGCGAAGCCCCTACACCCAGGGAGATAAAGTGGTGGTCTCTATCTAGGGAGAGCGTGGAAGACCGGCTGATGCATTTCGGCCCTATTGGTATCCCTTTAGGCGCAGCACACGGTGAAGTGCACAATGTTTACCCACCCCCTCAGAAGGATCAAGCGGGAGAAATCAGCATGTCTATTTGATTAGTCTGTGAATTTTCGAGCTTCTACATCAAAATTCACGGTCTTACAGCCAACCGTGCGCAGAGGTGAGTCGCTCCTAACTTGAGAAACTAAACGTGTGATAAGGCCTGAAGGCCTAAGACATTGCGACTTCCAATAGGAAACAAAATCTAGATTATTGCTATCAACACACTGAGCATGGGTAATGGGAATACTCAAACCCCCAAAATATTAAAAAACGAAAAATACTCCATTTATATACTACCTTCCTCTCAATTCCTTCCTAACAAACCAATACAAGTAACCCTCTTCCTCTTCTATTTTCCCAATTTCAGCCGGCGTCTCACAGGGCAGGAATATTTGCTCCCTTACTTTACCCCTTATGTACAGCCGATCTCCCATTACATTCCGACACCTTAACCTTCACGGCAATTTTCTCCCCCAAACATTCACCCTGTTACTTTTATCCATCCCTAACCATCCGCAACCTCCAAACCCATCATTGCTTGAACACTGGCTTCGTCTGTGGAGAATCAAGTAACCAACAATCAAAAATATAAATACATTGTTTTCACTCTTAATCGTAACACTCTCCCAGCTGTTTATTTGTACGGCACCCAATTTCCTCCAGCAAATAGTATATGATATCTTGACTTTAATTGAACAAAAAACTTACGTTGAACACACTCGAATAAAATAAATTGACTGTAAACCTATGTTTAAAATGCTAAAGAGACTACTTGAAAAAAAGATCTAAACTATCATTAACAACCAAAAATTATTATCATTACCCAAATCGCCCAATTTGGATCTATTTGTACGGGGCAACCAAGTGTTCCAATCTTTTTTCAGTATTAGAAGTATCGAAGAAGAAAACAAACTTAGTTGCTACTGCCAAGCTTTCCACTTATTTTACGGTCATCAACAGGGGAAAACAACTTTAAACATGTCTACAGATTGACATTTAAGGTTTGACAAGTGTTCTCAAATTTCCTTGAAGACCCAACATTACCTAGGACTGTGATTCGTTCCAATCTCAACAATCCAAAAATCCTTCGTTGATGCTCCATTCTACGTCACCAATAATACTGTAGTGACCCTTGTAGTCACCACACTTTACCGCTACATGCCATTACCACTTATGGAATGTTCTCGCCCTCCACTCTGCAGCCAATCAGAGTAGAGCTCTTATATAAGCGGGGGCACTACCCTCAGGGGAATCAGACTCGTCAGCCCGACGAGATCTCAACCATCACTAATCGACAACAGCAGACTCATCGACACGACGAGGTCTCATTCATCACTAATCAACGACAGCAGACTCGTCAACCCGACGAGCTATCACTAATGGAACACCGTCGACGACAGCAAGAGTACTCGCGGCTTTAGTCTGATTCTCTCCTTCTATACACAGCCGACTTGGCGATAAACGCCAAACGCTGCTCTCGGCTAATTGCTACACTCAGCCCGAACCTCAGCCAACGGTTTACTCTGTCATACACCACAACCAACGGCGCCACTCGCACGATCTCGGCCTTATACCTTCGTCACGGCTTCTCTCAACACCGGCCCTTGTCATGGCCACAAAACTCCCGGTCACTAAAATACTATCCACTCTGATCTCAACATACCCATCCAACCTTGCCCAGTACAGCTAACATAAATTTCACTCCAAACTAAACTCTCATGACACCTGTTAACCTGTCCAACTTCCTAGCTTTCCTAACCTCATAGAAGATTGAAGCGCAGGTGGCCTCGAGACCATCTGATTTTGTAACTTCGGCAACGCCAGGGGCCACAATGGTCAATTACGGCCACCTTCATTGTATGGTGGCTAGTCAAATCAATCACGCCTGGCAAATAATGTAAATGTGCATACAATAATGTGTATGTGCATGTGTATATGTATATTACTGTAAATAACACTTGCTTGTTGCATTTCCTATGCCGTTCGAAAATAAATAAAAAATTCTACATTATGATGTTATAGCTTTAAATCGTTATTCCCAATAGATATGTGAAGAACGTAGAATTACGAGAGTCATAATACATGAACCAGTGAAAAATTAAACTTAATGGCCTAATTAAAGTGCTATTTAAAGTCTAATTAAAATGAGGTGGATTCACTTGTATTAATCCTTACTGAATTTTTTTTATATTTTTTTTTTCCAATATGAAAATTTTCCTAATAGAACATGATCCACTAGTGTCTAACTTTCTAGTTCAGTGAGGAAGTTAAAATTTTTAAATTGTTCATGGACAATGGAAGAAATTTAAACGATCGAATATTAAAAAATGATTTGAAAGGCTTACCAAGAAGGTTGTTATCCTTCGTTAGAGCACGTTCTCCTTCGTAGACTTGTATGAAGACCCCCGGCTGATTGTCAGCGTAGGTGCTGAAAATTTGCGAATGTTTCGTCGGAATGGTGGTGTTCCTGTTGATTAAGGTGGTCATGACCCCGCCGGCTGTTTCAATCCCCAGAGACAAAGGTGTGACGTCCAGCAGAAGGACGTCTCTGACTTCTTCTGAAGTGTCGCCTTGTATAATGGCCGCTTGGACGGCGGCACCGTACGCCACCGCTTCGTCCGGGTTAATAGATTTGTTCAACTCCTTCCCGTTGAAATATTCTTTAAGCATGTTCTGTATTTTAGGTATCCGAGTCGAACCACCGACGAGTACGACCTCGTCGATTTTGTTTTTCTTTATTTTCGAATCTGTCAGAGCTTTCTCTACCGGGTCCAAAGTGCTCCGAAACAGATCTCCGTTCAGCTCTTCAAATTTAGCCCTCGTTATCGTCGAGTAGAAGTCTATTCCTTCGAAAAGAGAGTCGATTTCGATATTACTCTGCGTCGCAGAGCTCAGCGTTCTCTTCGTCCTCTCGCAGGCAGTCTGCATCCTCCTCATCGCCCTTTTGTTTTCCGTGAAATCTTTCTTATGCTTCCTTTTGAATTCGTCGGCAAAATACATGACCATCCGGTTGTCGAAATCCTCTCCTCCTAAATGGGTGTCCCCGGCTGTAGATTTCACTTCAAACACACCGTCTGCGATTGTCAAAACAGACACGTCGAAAGTTCCCCCACCGAGGTCAAATATCAATACGTTCATGTCTCCAGATTTCTAAAATTTAACGGTAGGTTAGATAATGTTAACACAGGGATAAGCAGTGCTTTTTTACCCTCTTGTCTAGACCGTATGCGACAGCAGCAGCAGTCGGTTCGTTTATTATCCTAAGGACGTCGAGACCAGCAATAGCTCCGGCATCCTTAGTCGCTTGGCGTTGCGAATCATTAAAATATGCAGGTACTGTGATAACTGCATTATTTACCTGGATAAACCGTCAAAAGTATATTACAAATCTGGCATAGATTATATTTATCAAATAAGGGACAAAATAACGCTCCACCCTTGAATTTTAATGTATTTAGGTTTATTCATGTTCTGCATATCAAAAATAGGTTTGGTTGTAAAAATTAACACATTTAGAAAGAAAATTTTCAATACCTAATTAAAAAACAAAATTAATGAGTAAAAAAATAACCAGGATAATTCAAAAACAAATAAAAATACTGAGTATTTCCACCTCTGGCAGGAATCACATCCGTTAAACGCTCTTTCATTCCTTGGAAAAGATTTCTGATAAAATCTTGAGGAATTCTTCCTCATTCATCAAGAACAGCCGTTTCCAATTCTTCTAGGGTGTTAGGTCCTGGATTTCGCCGTCGTACTCGTCGCTTAAGTTGGTACCAAATGTGTTCGGTTGGATTCAAATCTGGACTTCGAGTAGGCAACACGAAGCACTCACTTCCAACCCAAATGAGGTAGTCATCCACAATACGTGTTTGGGGCCTGGCATTATCTTGCATTAGGAAGAATCTGTCATCGCTGTAGGGAGCAAATGGCACTACATGCCCTTCGATTACGTCTTGTAAGCATATCTATGAAGTTAGAGATCTTCCTCAGACAACCAACAACCAATTTGATCCAAGGAAATGCCATCCCAGAACATCAGTGACCCACTGTGGAATGCTACCTGAGGAACCGTACAGCATGGTGGGTACCTTTCTCCTGAGGGTCTCTCTATGATATTACTAGCTTTTACTCGGGACGTTTTAATGTACCTTTCTAATGGGATGCAGAGTGCTATGGCTTTGTAATAAAATGTCTCGTTTCTCAATTAGTCTCTTCCTCAGTTCACTTATTCGTGGCAAAAAGTTGTCCATATCCCTTAGAAATGGAATTTCTAAAAACCCTATCTTAGCGGCTATCCATGTCATTATAAGAATGCACTGCCGAAATTTAAGCGCGTCACGGAACTATTTTCTATATACTGAGTGTTCGGCTACTCGTGTGACAAATTTTGCCAGTAGATTTTACATTTAAAATAAAACAAAAACGTCCTAATTAACTGTGGTCCGAATCTCAACAGTTTCGGAGTTATTCCACTTTTCTGATTTTTCAAGATTTTACAAACTTGCTTCAAAAAAACAATAATAACAAAAAAACTAAAACCGTTCATACCATTGAAAACTACGTTAAATTTCCAATAAAATGTGATCAATACCAAACTTGTAAACATAGATGAGATAAGCGTTTTAATAGACAGAACTTCCAAAAAAAATGTTTTTTCAAAGTTGAAAAAAATACTGTGGTGATCTAAACTACTATTTCCAAACCTAGAGGCCAGCAAATTTCAGAAAACGAACTCCATTTAATATCCTTTTTAGTGGTGTAATTTCTTTTTTAATTATTTTTTTCAAAGATAAAGAAATTGATGGAAGAAAAGTAAAAAACCGTGGTTGACGGATTGATAAAGTGGAAAGATTAATAATGATAAAACATAAAAAACTTAAAGAAAATTTGGAAAGGACAAATTCGTCGATATCATTTGAAATCACGTTAAATGTCCAGTAAGATGTTATCAATGCTAAATTGGTAAACGTTGGTGGAATAAACGTTTGAGTAGCCATAACTTTGAAAACTATTTTTTTGTCAAAGTTGAAAAACTTACTAATTTATTAATTAGTAATTCTAAATTACTAATTCCAATAATTGTTTCTACTATGGAATTACTATTTCCGAACCTACAGATCAGTAAATTTTAGAAAACGTACTCCATTTAATATCCTTTTTAGTGATGTAATTTCTTTTTTTAAATTTCTATTTTTCAAAGATAAAGAAATTGATGGAGGAAAGGTAAAAACCGTGGTTGACGGATTGGTAAGGCAGAAGATTAAAAAACTTAAGGAAATTTTGAATCAATGTATTAAACGATTTTTAAGTTGGGTTTGAAACCGAAATAGTGCAAATTGTATTCTTATGTATGGTGATTAGGGACCGTTAATAGATAATTATTCAGAAATCGTCAGATGCGGTCTGGTGTGCTGTAGGTTTCAGAAAAACATTTTCTTTATAGTGCCAACGTTTCGATCTTTATTGAGATCATCTTCAGGGCTCAAAGTGTTTGTCTTCTGTGTAATTGTGCCATTCTTGCGTGTCGTGTTAAGAGTGCCAAAAAGGCACGCAAGAATGGCACAATTACACAGAAGACAAACACTTTGAGCTCTGAAGATGATCTCAATAAAGATCGAAACGTTGGCTCGATAAAGATAATGTTTTTCTGAAACCTACATCACACCAGACCGCATCTTACGATTTCTGAATAATTGTATTCTTATTTACCAACACGACTGCAACGCTTAAAGGATTATTGTATTATTGTATTATTATTATTCCATGAAAAAAAGAGTTTTAAGATTCAAAACTTTTTCAGTCATTTAATCAAAATTTTATTATGTTTTTTCATTTTTTTTATCTTTCTGCATTACCGATCCGTCAACCACGGTTTTTACCTTTACTTCATTAATTTCTTCATCTTTGAAAAAAGTAATTAAAAAGCATTACACCACAAAAAAGGATATTAAATGGAGTACGTTTTCTGAAATTTTCTGCTTTCTAGGTTTGGAAATAGTAGTTTAGATCACCATAGTAACTTTTTCAACTTTTAAATTTTTTTTAAAGTTCTGGCTACTAACACGCATTTCATCAACGTTTAGAGGTTTAGTATTGATCGCATCTTATTTAAAATTTAACCTAGTTTTCAATGGTTTTGTCCAAAACCGTTTAGTTTTGGACTTATCATTGTTTATTTGAAGTAAGTTCGTGAAATCTTAAAAAAATCAGAAAAACACCGAAACTCTTGAGATTCGGACCACAGTTAATTAGGACTTTTTGGTTCCATACTGAATGTAGAATCTACTGGCAAAGTTTGTAATACGAGTAGCCGAACACACCGTATAGGCGACCATCTGATGATTTGCGGCCGACTCTTCCTCATCTGTAGAGCTCCGTCAAGCTTTGGTAAGACGAGGATCATCACGAGCTGGGTGCCGGGCCCTGAGGTTTTTTTTCATTGAGCCTTCTTCCTACAGTCCTGGAGGAAATCGAAACGTTTCTGATTTGTCTCATCAGATTTCTTATCTCAATTCCGGTAATGTTGCGGTTTAGTACAATCTGATGACTTCGAACCCTTGGTGTTGTCGAGATTTACACTCAGTCTCCTTGCGATATCTCGCTGGCTCTATCATCCCTCTAATAATGTTACGAACCTGTGACAACTCACTAAAATACTTGACTGGCTGAAAAAAGGTTTTATAGTAACAATAATATTAAATTAAATCAATGAAGGGAAAAGATTAACTGAAGGCGATCTTTAGGAATAGCAGAATGGATAATACTTTTTGTGCAAATGGAAATAATCAATACAAAAGTAAATATAAGAAGTAAACAAAGCATTATTTACTGTTTATTTTTACTACGATAGGTCCTATTACTTGTAGCTAATGTAGAAAAAACAGTTTAAGTTTAAATAAAATAAATTGAGATGTGCTTTAAATTTTGTACATCAGGATATAATTAAAATCTCTACCTTTTTCCCTAAGTATGCTTCTGCAGTTTCTCTCATCTTAACCAGGACCATGCTGGAAATTTCCTCAGGGTAAAATTCTTTGGTTTCTTTCTTGTATTCCACCACAATAACGGGTTTTCCATCTTTGCTTGCAACTTTAAAAGGCCACATTTTTCTGTCGTTAACTAAGGTCGGATCGTCGAATCGTCTGCCTATCATCCTTTTTGCATCTGAGGACAATATTCAATTATTTCCTACTGATCAATATCAGAAATTAAAGTACGATTAGGAAGTTATTATTCAGATCAGGTATTATAAAAACTAAACCTGTAATAGCTGAAATATAACTATTTCATCGCTACATTTATTTTTAGAGGTCTAATTGACATAATTATTTCAATTAATTAATTTTATGTAGCTTTATAAAAGCTAGTCATGAGCGGGATTCGAACCCTCGTCCTTCGGCTCAATACGCCGGTGCTCTAACCACTTGACCAAAGTGGACAAAGGTTCTGGGTTCGAATCCCTCTCGTGACTCTAGCTTTTTCATTTCACCACTATTAACGGAATAAAAACTGGTTTTAATTAGATTTTACATTACCGTATACAGTGTTTGTAGGATTCATGGCGGCTTGATTTTTAGCCGGGTCACCGACAAGCCGCTCCGTGTCCGTAAACGCGACATAACTCGGTGTGACTCGATTTCCCTGATCGTTGGCTATGATTTCCACCTTAGACGAAAAACTGTCAGCAGGATGTCATTAGGAAACATGTACACTTTTTTACCTTTCCATGCTGAAATATCCCGACGCAGGAGTACGTGGTACCTAGGTCGATCCCTACGGACGGCCCTTTAACCCTACCTTTTGACATAGTGTGGCCCTTTATACACTTAGACTTCCACACTCACTATTGAAAAGTGTTTAATTACTGGATTTAAAGTGTACGTTACATTAATAGTCTATGCACAAAAATGTCTTATTTTACAGAAAAACGTTTGTCAGATGGTTTGTGAAATGTAAGTCAAGGGAAATGAGAAAGGCCTGAAAACAAACAAAACGGTCGTATAAAAGTGTGTCCGAACCGCCATGATTGTTAGGCACTTACAAGTCCTTGACTTGCAACTTCCAAACAAGTAGACAAACGGGCGCGCTATGGACTTTAACGGCCGTTTGTTACTTTGCATAATAGCTCTGTTTAGTCTCGAAATTTTCGTACTGCGTTACCAGAAAGTCTTTAGGATAGCCAAAATTTAAGATTCTTAAGTTGACAAATATTTAGAATAGGTCCATTGTCAGAGATGATTGATATACCTAACCGGGAAAAATTGTCACTTACATTTTTCAATTTATCTTGTGTCTTGAACTTGTATCATGCTTGCATAGGTGGAAAACCACCAGGGAAGATGTCTTGTATTTTCCACTTCACCTGATGTTATGTAACATATGTATGTTGACATTTTTTTTATTGTTTTTATTTTTATACACATACAATCCACATTGTGAGCAACTGTTGATAAATTAACAGTTTTCCTTGTTGAAAAGATTTACCTAGAACTAGAAGAATTTGATAATGAGAAAAAACTTAACTTTTCACTTAACTTAATATGTAAAAATATTGAAAAAAAAATGAAGTAAATAAAAGAAAGAAAAAAGTCGAATTTTAATGTTAACAGGTAATTCCATGTTCAAACGAATACACAGAGATTTGTAAAGGTCCTTTTAAAATTATCTGCTAGTAATTTTTGTCCTATTTTTCTTAGACAAATTCTTTTATTTATTTATTGTCAGTTCAGTTGTTAATACGTACCATATGCTTTAAAGAAAATGAAACATTTTTGCACTTTTCCTTTGAGTGATGACGTTAATCCTGTTAAGGTTATTTAACGGCCAGAAAACGGCATAATAAAATTAGAGCTGTGCTTTGGAAAGTGTCAGTTTTCTAACTTCATTATACAAGGAATCGAGCTCATCACTCCAGTACTTATCAAATTCACAGAGTTACAGATTATTTCATGTCTCGAGCAGAAAGTGTACGCGACTGGAGTGTTTTTGATGTTTCCCAGGTCTTAGACAAACTATGACATGTGAGAATATTATGCAATTTAAAACTACCCCAGGCATGATCTTATGCAAGGCATGTTATGATACAATCGTAGATTTTTCGTAGTAAACCAGGCATCGGAGACTTCTGAGATGAAAGAAATGCTTACGGGTGTACCGCAAGGGTCAATACTCGCTCCGCTGTTGTTAACATTTACACTTCGGCCCACAAATGAGAATGTAGGGCCATATTAACTAGTCACTCTTTTTCTTCACATTCTAAATATTTTATAAAACCACATTTCAACAACCGAAAAATGAAAATAAAATTTTACCCGTCATAGTCACAACATACCACCTTTATACTCCGTCGTGAGACTTGTCCTAGGATATAGTTTACTTACTTATGGAATGAACCTGTTACTCAATCCGACAATGTGAACTATGTAAGACTACATTTGATGGGAGACTAAGTTGCAATCCGCACAGACCAGATAATTTACATTTTAAGGTAAAAAAAAACAGTCTGAAGGAACGATTTAAAATGCTCGGAAAATAAAAGTTACCATTAAAATGAAAAAAACAATTTGGATGTACGAGTGCGAAGTTTGCGGATCGGCGACATATTCCAATATTCGAAGATAACAAAGTTTTCAATCGAAAATTTTAAGACTAATTGTTTTTGCCCTTTCTTACGTAAACAATAAGGTCTTGGTTGAGATGAAAAAGTCATTGTCACGAGCGAGATTCGAACCCACTACTTTCGGCTCAAGTGGCTAGAGCAGCGGCCTTATTGAGCGGAAGGTCGTGGGTTCGAATGTCGCTCGTCACACTAACTCTCTCGTCCATTTAACAGAATTCTTGGACAATCTTACCGATTCCTCCTCGGACCGTTGACAATCCACAGGTCTCCGGGTACCTGGGGCTCAGTGGAGATTTTTTCCCTATGGCCGCTTCATTTCCAAAAATAAAATCAAGTATTGTTTAGTGTAGATATTTTCTTTGTTTTTCTGCTATGGTTGTTCGCTCTGTTAATTGTCCTTTTCTCTGGGCATTAAAGAAGTAGTTTTTTATGAAATTTGTTAACCACTGCACTGTAAATTTTTCGAATGAGATTGCAACTTTAGTTTTTCTAATTTTAAATTTTCGAAGATAACAAAGTTTTCAATCGAAAATTTTAAGACTAATTGTTTTTGCCCTTTCTTACGTAAACAATAAGGTCTTGGTTGAGATGAAAAAGTCATTGTCACGAGCGAGATTCGAACCCACTACTTTCGGCTCAAGTGGCTAGAGCAGCGGCCTTATTGAGCGGAAGGTCGTGGGTTCGAATGTCGCTCGTCACACTAACTTTCTCGTCCTGTAAACAATAACGTTTTCACAGTAAATTGCACAATCACACTAGCACACANAATTATTTTGATTAAAGAACATTGCTTTAAAGTAACTAGTTTCTTTTTTTTTGTTTAATACCAAAATCCTGCATTATTTTCCGGACAACCCAATAAATGAAGTAAAAAATATATATGCAATGCATTTTCACCAATCAATCACCAAGCAAATCAGGTATCGTAAACAGCTTTTGATTGTTTTATTCACAATGAACCTTTCATCACCTTGTTAAAACTATTGCAATGGTGGCTTATCCATCTACTTGATAAGGTGGCTCGTTTAGGTTTACAACTTTCCCATTTTTTTTCGTGATGTAAGTGTGATGGCGAAGCACAAATGAGAAGTAATTGAGCGTTGGGAGGGTAAGCTCCGTTTTCAAATCTTCTTCAGACGGATTTCCTTTCTTTATTTACATGAAAAATATTTGCTTCAAACTGTTTCCATGCATAAGATTTACATGAAATAAAATAAAGCGTTACCTTATATATCACTTTTCTGATTTGACGAATTATTTAAATTAGCTTCTAGAAAATAGTAAAATCGTGCCTTCCTTCAATACCTACCATTCAATATCGATTAATATCATCGAATCATTGATGATAATTATAACAATAGACAAGTACAGTATTTTCTGTTGATGGTGCTATTTTATTTCAATGCAACCGAACTAACGAAATGACAAAAACATCAACGATATCCGGTTATCATTTTCTTCATTATCATGTGCAATTTTGCCTTGTTACACGAAGTGAAATATCGTCCTCTTTATTCTTAGTATGTGAGTCAGCGGGTTGACACATCAAAGAATGATTGTCTCGCTGTGAACGGAAATTGATTGCACAGTTTTATCTTGCCTTGTTTTTAACTTAGAAAAATGCCAAACAGGAAAATGTTAAGCGTTTATTTTTGATGCAAAATTCACATCAAATTTAGCAAGTTTTCAAATTTTTAGTACCCAAATTTTCATATTATCCCTATTTTTTGATAATGAATAAATGAATGTAAAGTCAAGTATTAAAAATAAAAGTAGCTCGTTACATATTGCCCGATATATTATTTACTATAATTACTACGAAAAAATTATCCAGTTAACACCAGGCAGGACTGAAGAAAAATATACATCAAAAATAAAGTACCGACTTCCATTCAAGTCGAATACTTAGGACTATACCTAGATAATAAATTGACGAGGAATCCACCCACAAGACATAAGAGATAACCATTTAACAGAATTCTTGGACAATCTTACCGATTCCTCCTCGGACCGTTGACAATCCATCAGGTCTCCGGGTACCTGGGGCTCGGTGGAGTTTTTTTCCCTATGGCCGCTTAATTTCCAAAAATAAAATCAAGTGTTGTTTAGTGTAGGTATTTTGTTTATTTTTCTGCTATGGTTGTTCGCCCTGTTAATTGTCCTTTTATCTGGGCATTAAAGATGTAGTTTTTTATGAAATTTGCTAACCACTACCGTGAATTTTTCGAAAGAGATTGCAAATTTATTTTTATTCCTAATTTTAAATTTAACAGTTTTCAAAAGATTTAATGTTTTTGTAAATTAATTTGAAAGTTCTAAACGGGTTCCTTCGTAAAACAAGTTTAATGCCCAGTTCAATGCTTTTTTGGATTTCAAAAATGAATTGTTCAAAAGCTACGATTAAATTTTTCACGAAAACCATAGATAGTTTTTTTTTTACTTCATTTATTTTTTTTAAATCTACGACTGTACATGTATTATATACAACCAGCAGATTAGGTTTTGATTTATGTTTACGGCAAATTTAGTTTTCCTAATTTTAAATTTAACAGTTTTCAAAAGATTTAATGTTTTTGTAAATTAATTTGAAAGTTCTAAACGGGTGCCTTCGTAAAACAAGTTTAATGCCCAGTTCAATGCATTTTTGGATTTCAAAACTGAATTGTTCAAAAGCTACGAGTATATATTTTACGAAAACCGTAGATAATTTTTTTCATTTATCTTTTTAAATCTACGACTGTACATGAATCATATACAACCAGCAGATTGGGTTTCAATTTATGTTCATAGCAAATTTAGTTTTCCTAATTTTAAATTTAACAGTTTTCAAAAGATTCAATGTTTTTGTAAATTAAATTATTGTTATATAATATAGTTATAAATAATTAAGTTATAGAGAAATTTACCCAATGACAGCCGCTCTGGATTAATAAAATGATATTAATTATTTAAGACGTCTCTTATCCATATTCTTTCCAGTCGCGTACGTTGTAATTGTGGGGAATGGAGTTATCGTATTTGTGTGTTAGTATGATTTTGTAATTTACTAAGAAAACGTATGTAATATGTTTTGATGAATGAAAAAAAACCGTTGGCATGTGTAGATCCCTGTGAAGTTTGTTATCGTTTACGTAACTAGGGGCAGAAACATATAATCTTAAAATTTTAGATTGAAGACTTTGTAATCTTTGAATATTGGAATATTTGGCCGATCCTTAAGCTTGGCACCCGTTCATCCAGATAAATTTGAAAAAGAATGTGTATTTCAAAAGATTTGATTTTAATAGTAATTTTTATTGTCGGTTTAGTAGGTAATAAAGAATGTTAAATCATTTGTTGTCTGGTTTTATAGTCGTGTGTGTGGATTCAAAGTTATCTTGTATCAAATGTAATTCCTAAATAGTTAACTTTGCCGGATTGACGAACAGGGTCATTGCTAAGACGTGTCACGACGGAGTGTAAACGTGATAAGTTGTGACTTTGAGGGGTTAAACTTTCTTTTCAAAAGATTGGTTCATTTTTCAATTGTTGATATGTGGATTTGCAACATAAGTGAAGCTTGTGTAGAAGGGGGACGACTTGCTAATATGGCGGTGGCGTGTAGTGCATTATAATTCGTGGGTCAGAAGCAAAAATTGTGTACAACAGCGGAGCGAGTATTGACCCTTGTGGTACACCTGCAAGCAGACGGCCATCCACCTACGCCTGTGCGTATGATCTACGTTCGCAAATTAAGTGATGTATTAATTTGAAAAAATGCATAATTTAATGAAGTTTCA